AAGTATCAAGTTCAAGTCCTGCGTGGATCACAATGTTACTTAGCTCAGACAACGAGCCACGATTATAGTGATCCACTAACGTAAACCACGCGACATCGATCAGGAAAAAAAAACAATATAAGTCCTACATATAGTTTAGAGATGCAATTGGTCTTTGAGCAATTTATTTTTTCTTCAGATGCAAGAAATTTGCAACTTTAATAGATTTTTTCACAGCAAAGAATTGGTCATTAAAAATTTTAAGTTACAAAGACCAATCATTTCACTACAGAGACTTAAATGGTTAAACATAAAAACTTAATATCTAAATTGTTACTCCAAATTTATTTTCCTAACCTTTTTTTTTCATAAGAAAAGTTAAGGCTCTTATTTCCCATTTAAAATAAATATAAAAGCGTTGGAGGATTCTCTTCAAACCATTTTCTTTTACTTTTATTATAAAAAACTATAATTAAAAACCATGGTTGTAGGATTACTTTTATAAAGACACAATTTTCACTCGTTCAATAAAATAAAAAAGAAAACCTGGTTTAGTAAAAGAATGATGGATAGATAAAGAAGAGAGAAAATGTAGTATAATCAAATTCTAGTTTGTAGGAGCTTAGGTTTAGTAGCAGGATCGTCCCTGTACCACTGCCATATAGATCATGTTATTAATTATTGTGAGGTCCAAAGTTTGTACGGTGAAGAAAAGAATATCGTAAAAAATATGTTAGAGTTGAATAAATGATGGATTTAGAACGAGGTAGAAATTAAAGCGCAGATTTTTCAATTTGATGTGTATTTAATTTATAAATTGCTGCACTAAGAAGGCTATAAAAATTTTGCAGAAAAACGACACATCGTACAAAACCCCAATGGGCTTCCGCCCACTCTGCAGCTGAAGCAGCTGCTTCTGCTGCTGCTGCTAAATTAATATATATTTTTTAATTTACAACATATATATATATATATTATTATTATTATTTATGGTTGTTACAGCTGGTGGTCAGTGGTCACCACTTTCCCCCTTAGAAAATGAAATATGATCATCAATCTTCTCTCTCTTTCTACAAAATTTCCTGTTTTAATTTAATTTCATGGAATATTAGTACACCAACGAAAAAACTTTGTAATCGGAAATTTCTTGGGTATGAAAATTAAATATGATCGCCCATCAAAACACAAATATTGCCAGAAACTAGAATGAGAGGGAACATTGTTTTCAAGCCATGCATCAATTTGTTGCGTTGTTTAATTAGGTTAGGTGTGTACCAATTGGGAGAAACAATTAAAACTAAAATAACGGAAAACTGAGAAAAAAGAAAAGTAAAATAAACTTCCTTTGCATGTACTATAGGAGTGTTAGTGGTACACAATCGTTTCAATTGAATCATATCGTTACAAATTTTATTTTATTAGTGATTGGGGTTTAATTAGGGGTAGAATGAATCAGGTAGCTTTTTTGTTCGAGAGGGGAGGAGATTGAGAGTGCGGTAGAACGACCCTAGGTGTTCCCACAATGTGATCCATATAGCGAGTGCTCTATCTAGACATGTTGGATATAAGCGGACTCTCGTTCTCTGCTGGGAGTAGATAAGTTGCATGACTATTCGAGACAAGATGCAAATGCAAGTAGCACTTTGTTCGAGGGGAGGATGGTTGGGGTTGCAAGGTATGCAAACAAAGTCTCACTTGAGATACCGTTGTCCTCTATGGAACGAAGGAGCCCCCGCTAGTTTGCTTCTCTTTCGAAATATGTATAGATTATGAAATATTTTAGTTTTCCTCTAGGTTGCTTCTCTAAATTTTTAAAATTAAAAGATTAGGAAGGTACAAATTTGTCCCTACCAAATAAATTTCTAGCTCCATGTGCCCCAAGTTTAATAGTAAGTTTGAGATATTACTACCCTACTTCCATGGTTTTACGGTGATTTAGGGTTTAGAGTTTAATTGTATTTTTTTTATAGATAATTTAAATATAACTACCCAGCTTTTATGAATAATTTATATATTTTTAAAATTATAATAGATAGAATTATAATCCATCTAAATATAGTTCAATTAATTAAGACATATATCATCGATTAAAATGTCAAGGTCAGAATCTAGAAAGTTAGAAAATGCAATTACAAGTACAACTGTTTATATTTCAGGTGTGATTTTTGTAATTTTTTTTTTTTCAATTCCCACCGTAGTTAATTAAAATGATGCAGGTTTTAGATTAGCAATAGCATGGGGTTTCATAATAGAAAAATATATATAGGGATAATGTTGTGGGAAAAAAAGCAGTAGGGTAATGAAAACAAAAGATGAAAATGTGATGATTTGCAAAAGTCAAGCGAAGTAATGAGTACAAAATAATTATAAAATTAAAATAAGTAATATTTATGAATTTTAAAAATTTAAAGAATAATCATTTTGAAGAAGAAAAAGACATAAATATGTATGAATGATTCATACGAAACTGGGTGTGATTTCAGTTTGGAAAACTTGGTCAATTGGACAAGTTTCGTTTCAGTATATGGAACAGAAATAATTGAAAATAAAAGTTAAACGTCACATCACAATCAGATAAAAACAGGTAAATTATTATAAAATGATGAGATTTAAAGAAAAAGAAAAAAGGAAAAAGAATACAAGTGGGAGGTTGTGGTTAAGGAGTGGACCCGATGTGTCACCTACATAACAGGCACGTGGTTGGTTGACGCGTTTCCGCGGGAAAACCACCGGTCGTACTAATCCCTAATTCTCTTCTCTGTCACCCACTCTCAGTCACAGTCAGTCACCGTATCAGTATCGGAAAATCAGTTTTCCATTAACTGTCACGGAAAAAACCGTGTCCTGTTTTGGAGTTTTCTGCCACGTCACCGAAAGGTATTCTTTTGTCTGCGTCTGCCACGACGCCTTGCATGCTGTCACTCATTCGGAAACCCCCCAAGAACCTTCTTCTTTTCTTCTCCATTAATATTTCCTTTTCGTACACATTAATCTTTAAAAATTACTTGGACCATTTTATTTGTACCGTTAATTTAGATTTTATGTTTTAAAATATTCCTCGATAGACACGTAGGAGGATTTCGCCAATAATGATGTAGATTTGTAGACATAAAATTGAGAAGATGAATGGAGACATGTGTCAAAGGGTTGTTGGAGAATTTTGGTCAAAAGTTAGTTGGGTTGATCTGTTAACCTGATTAGAGACAATAATGTTGGAGAAGGTTATACGTGAGCAATGGTTGGAAAGATGTGCCATGTGAAAAGATTAAAAGATGTGTATTTTTTAACTCATATTAGAGTCCTGGGTTATCTTGAGTCATGTCTTTTATAGGAGAAATACAATCATTTACGATAGTCGATACGCACATGTGAGTGTACATAAGTCATATTAGATTGTTTATCAAGTGTTTTATTATTTTCAATATTTTGAACACTAGTCACTTCAAGTTGTGTGTTCGGTGTCTAGTTTGAACAATATATTTTGACATAGATCATGTCAAGATGTATATTGGATATCTCATCTAATCGAATGTATACACTAACATCTATCATGTTAGATTAATGAACGTGTTTGATCATCTTACTTGATACACTCCTACCATATCATGTTACTTAAATTAGGTTGGCTCCACACTATCTGATTGAATAATCATTGATAGTAGTTAGTGGGATTTTTCTTAAAGAACCAAACTAGAAAGAGCCTCATGCCTAACCAATCTCTCGAGCTTACCTCTCCTTGCTTCGGTACCATGTTAGACATTTTCTAAAAGCTTACTACTTGTTTGGTGTCTTCATGTCGGGTTGACTTTATTGGGTAGGGTTTGCAAGATGAAGGAGCCTAGCACTAATTGGTTTATTGTGGAGAGTATCTAAGGTAGACTGAAGCAAAATTCGTTGAGAGTCAAGTGTGATAAGAATGCTAACTTTATAAAACCAAGTGGTGAGAATGGGCGATTTTATGAATCTATTAACTTAAGACAATAATTTATTTTGAAAAATTTATCTCATAATATACCTTCTCAGATATAAAAGACATTTTCTCGTTCAAAGTTAAAAGAACTTTTTTAAAGATACAATATTAAGACTTCCAAAGACTTCCAAAGTGATCACTCAACTCAGTATTATTCTCACCCAAACAAGTTTAACTTCTGATGGAATTGTATCAAAGATATTTATTATAACTTTTATAGATCAAATTCAACTCATAAATTTTGGTATAGTTTTATCATTCATAAAATATCTTATAAAAAAAACTCCCACATGGCGATTTCTTGTCCCCTCAACAAAAAAGTAATAAAAAAGAAAAAGGGAAAAAAATCTAAAAAGTGATTAGATTGATTTGAAGGAAGTTGTATGAAAGAGAGAGGCAAGTGTATCATTCTCATAAGTTGATTAAGTTAAAAGTATCAAGAAAACAGTTCAAATGTTAAAAAAATAAAAAATTTGTTGTTCTTTAAAGCATGCTTAATAAAAGGAGCAAATTTGATGCATATTTTTTTAGAAGTTTCATAACTTTTTTTTTTTATAAAAATTATAGTATATCCATGATTTTTACATTTGAGTTTGATTGAGGATACAGTCTTTTATATTTTATATTATTTATTTAAATGCTTGTAATTAAAAAAAATGGAGTATCTACTTCATAAATGATTTCAAATTCAAAACGGAACCCATAAAAATATCTAAAAGATACAATATTCTAGACAAATATATAATAAATAATTAAACATGAGCAAGTAGAATCTTCCAGGGTGAAGTGAAGTTCAAGAACAAGTCAAAGTGACACGTGTCAGACAGTGAAGTTGACTCGTTTCCTTTCAACTTTGCCAAAAATCCTTTTCTCCCTTTTTTTTTATTATTTAATAATTTTTTAAAGGGAAAAAAAAAACAGGGCAAAACAATCCAAAACTGTGGATGCCGTGGGCAGCCAGCACAGCCTGTCCTGGCTTCTTATCAGTTAACTCCGTGTTTTATCAATTTTCAAAATTCAATCCACAATCCACCAAACACTATAAAACCATGATCCCTCACTCTTACTCCATCAACCCCACCTCCAATTCCTCGAAATTCAATTGTAATTTGGACTCGAAATCAGCTCAGTGATATCAAAAAATGGAACCTTTTCCAAGTTTCTATGAAGAGTACTTGTCGAGCTCTGAGAGTAGCAGTTGCCGCCGGAGAGCGTTGTTTTCCGACGAGGAGGTCATGTTGGCGGCGAGCAATCCGAAGAAGAGGGCCGGGAGGAAGAAATTTAAGGAGACTCGGCATCCGGTGTACAGGGGAGTGAGGAGGAGGAATTCCGGTAAGTGGGTTTGCGAGGTAAGGGAGCCCAATAAGAAGTCTAGGATTTGGCTTGGGACATTTCCAACGGCGGAGATGGCGGCTCGGGCTCACGACGTGGCGGCGATGGCGCTTAGAGGTCGCTCTGCTTGTCTCAATTTCGCCGACTCCGCGTGGCGGCTGCCGCTGCCGGCGTCCCCTGACCCCAGGGGTATTCAGAAAGCGGCAGCCGAGGCGGCGGAGGCATTCCGGCCGGTTGAGTCAGATGGGTCCTCCGTAGACGACCCACGGCAGGAAAATGGGACGGCGGCGGAGACGACGGCGCCCCCGTCGGAAAACGTGTTTTACTACATGGATGAGGAGGCAGTTTTTGGGCTTCCTGGATTGCTGGAGGATATGGCTGCGGGGATGATGTTGCCTCCACCTCAGCATTTTCGTGATGACAAGGATTTTTATGATGACATGTCATTATGGAGCTATTAATTTTTTTTCTTCTTTAATTATCCATAGCTCTTATTACATTCAATTTACGTCCATGTACATAGAATTTGAAGAAAGAGTGTTTATTTAGGTATTGAAATAGCAAAAGCATCAATGACTGATTTCCCCCCACTTATTTTGTTGTTGTTATCTTCTTTCTACTTTTGGTATTGCTTTTATTGAGAAGTCCATTTCCATGAAAACGATATCTCCTAAAAAAGTTACAAGTTCTGAGTTCAAAAGAAAAAAAAAGGGTCATTAAATCTTCCTCCTATTTTAAGCAAGTTCTTTGCTACCAAACGAATATCCCTCAGGCCTCAGTTGATGCTACCAAGTACTAAAATGCTTCTCCAATGGCTCCATTATTGAGCTATATGTTGAGACATCTTTAGGAAACTAGGTTTTTCTCGTTCTTTCATACTTTTTATATAGTTTGCATATCTTTCCAGATGTGACATTTTTGTATCCCTTTACCATAATTAGAGTGTCAAGGAAGACGCTGTAAACAAACAATAAATACCAATCTCTTTACACATCATTCCGGTTTCAACAGTTTATACATTAAAAATGGTCTTTCTTTTAGTTGTCCTTGACCACAATATTCAATTTGAAACCACTTCATGATTCACACACATTATATATATATATATATATATATATATATATATAAAATGGAAAATGAAGATTCATATGAAGACCCCATAAAGGAAATTGGATTTCAAGATTACATTGCAAAGCAAAAAGATTGTGCAAGGATATTTAGCTTAGTATTTGAAACAAACATCAAGAAGCCACAAGTGAAATCCTTGTGGCAAAATGGATTTGAGGGTTGCGAACTGCATAATATCAGATCCTGAATAACATAACCTGCTGATATCAGCATAATATTTGCATGTTTACATTGTGAAGAACTGCAGTGGTGCTGAGAGACATTTAATTATGTGTTGACCAACAAATTTCTCAGGACCAAAAAGTAAAAAACTAGAGTGAGAAGAAAAAGAAAACTTATTGGTCCTGATATTCAAATATCATTATACAAAGAACAATTAAGGGTAACATTTTGCTATTTTGCCAAGCAACACCAGAAAAACAAGGGAACCTACCAGAGTGTTGATGAACTAACATTGAAATGCAAGTGCTTTGAGAAATTCCTCCATCTGATTAGTGCAGGTTGTGAGATTGGATATGTTACTTTTCTTTCTTGAGAAGAGCCGAAGTCCTAAATTCAGCATCATCCCTCACAAAACTCCACCACATGTACGAAAGAGGAATCGAAGTTGCATGCCAGAGTGCGTGGGCATCGACGTATCCTCTGTATGGAGGGAAATCGAATGCCTCCAGAAGCATGGCAATGGTGCCGCCCAAGACTAGCACCCACAACTTCCATTGTGATGGATAGTGAGAAACGACGGCAAAAGCTGCCCAAACAAGAAGCTGAGTAACGCCCATGACCAGGCAGACCTTAGCATTCAGACCTGAAAAGGTAGTCAACTTATGTAAATCATACTTTTGATGCCAAGTAATAATATTATTCTAGAGATGGATTCTAATAATTCATTTATCTATTAGAATTTCCTTTTGCATGGGCTAGCAAGGATATTGGTACTTAGGGAAGATATTCAGACAGTTGATAACATACAAGGGATCAGAACAAGATCATCTGACAGAAAAAGAATTGAGGCGGGCAAAATATGTAAAATAGATAACAACAAAATTGTTTTAAGTGGTCAGGCTCACTAAGTGGATCTACACTTTTACGTACGTCCAAGAAATCTAATGTTGAAAAGATAATGATAAATGCCATTGAACACAGGAAAAATGCTTCCCAGACAGGAATTTATATTTACATTCAAGAGATACGACCTAAAGCAATTGATGCATTACCATAATCAAGTTTATAGAAGTTGAGGTACAAGATGTGGGTCGTCACGAATGAGATAATTGGAGCAGAAACCATGACCCTAGCAGGTTCATCTCTTGCATTTAAAGCTCGCAGCAGGGCTACAATTAGGGAAAATCCAATAAATGCCACAGCTGAAGAATAATCCAGCTTCTCAGTCAACTCCACATCTCTACAAACAATTTAATTCAAAACACCATAGCAACGCAAGTAGTAAGTTAGAAATGTGAAGCCAAGCATATGGTAGGTCACCCTGCAATAACTTCAGGAGTTCATGAGAAAATTATTCATTTCATTATTTGGTACTGGTGTTTTACAAATTCGAAGTTGCATCATGAATAACACCATATTTTATTTGTATATAAAATTCTCACAGGAACATCATCTACAAGTGCTCTTTTGCCAAAATCTTAAATGGTTTAGCCTATGAAGCACCAAAATTTTTGTTCCTGTTTTAGGAAGATGGAGCAGAAATGTGTAATTTGACAATAAGAGCAAGCAACTAGCTATATCTAAACAAACTATACTCAAGGAACCAAGCTTTATTTTTTCTAAGAAAATAGGTAATAAAAATTTCATGGCTGTATTTTGAAACATCAGTATTGTCATAAAAAAACTTAGCTTCTCAACCCAGCTGTATGCAGAATATAATGTCATGTTAGGAAAAAAAAAGAGACATCCAAAGGTAAAATTAATATAATTTCTTACCTACAGTGAAATGCAGCATTCCAAAACGAAGAATTCATCGCTAAGATCCCATAGATATGCCACAATCCTGTAAATTCATAGTAGGTCCTCTTATCCGGCTTCAATGGAAGCTTGTAGTACAGAAGAATGAAAAAGGATAACCAGCCATGAAATTGCACGGCAAGATTGAGAGTAGCAAGAGCAACTGCAACCGGTTCCTATCACATCAATAGCAAAGTTCAAGACGCGAAGAACAGCACAAATGGCAACAGATTTAGCAGCATCATATTAGATATCAAGGCAGTTAAAGTCATTGGACAAACCTGGATGCCATAAATTCGTCTAAACGGCCATTTCCCATGGTATTTGACAGGCTTATCGCCAAGATTTGTTCTTTCTTCCTCCCTAGCAAGCATGCAGTGGTACCTGCAATCGCTCTGGCAGTCCCACTGTTTCCAGCGTACATACAGAGGTTCCTGCAGATACCATGGACCATCAACAGACTTCCCATCAGATGAGAATTTACAATGCTGAAAACATTTGTCACCAGCGCATCCAGATTTCTCACACTGCAGCACACAGCCCCTGACAAATAATGGAGGAAGAAATTACGAAAATAAGTAGCAGGTTTACTCAACTGCCGCATTTTCTCTCCAATACAAAGAATGAGAAATGACCACCCCCTGCTAACACTCGATCCAAACCAATGTTATAGCCCAAGATTTAATGACTTCACCTAATAAGTAATACCTACCCTCTGAAGCAAGTGTCTAAATAAGCAGGATTCTCAAGTTATTCATCATCATGCTCAAATCGTGAACTGAATGATCATCACTATGATTCATGCAAAAGGGGGAGAAAATTTTGAGCCAGAGGAAATTTCCCCAACAAACAGTACACAATAGAACGATTACAATTATTTTCAGAGTCAATTAAATAGGAAAATGAACAGCTGCAGAACCACAGAACTATTAAACATTGCATTCGCGGAATTTCACACCAGCACAGAGCAATCCACATTTAAAAAGGAAAACAAACGAGTTCCATTAAAGCAGACCAAAGCGTTCAACAATCAGGAGTAATAAATTGAGCAGATATCGGAATAACCACGCATTAAATCTTCATTTAACGATTGAAAAGAAAAGCAAAATGAAAATGGGGAGTCGAATTAAACCAGAGGAAGAAAAACGGCGCGCAGAGGAATCAATGGGGTGGTGAGAAGGAAAAAGAGATAAAGGGAAGGGGAAATTACTTGTAAATAGGATCAGCATCACCAGGGCTGGCGTGGAGGTGGAGAAGAGGGAAGAGAAAGCAGAAGAAGGGAAGGAGGAGAAGGGAATGAGGATGGGCCATCCGATTGCTGGAAAAGTGAAAACAGGGGAGGGAAGTTTTTGAAAGATTTCTTGTAAAAGGAATTAAAGGGTGTGCGAATCGAGGTTCGAGTGAAGATTTGACTGGTTAGGTTCCATGAATCAGAGAAACCGAGTCAGTAACTGAGTCGAGGCCGAGTCGGGGAAGAACAGAAGAAGAAGAAGAGAGAGAAGTTTTTGGTTGGGCAAAGAGAGATCGGAATCCTCGTGAGCTGATCTTCGACTCAGTAGTGATTGACTTTTGGACACGTGGACGCATTGATGCTCTCCTCCATTTTACTGAACAGCCCCTCATTTTTTGTCGCTTTCTTTTTTTTAATCTCTGCCCTTTATTGACCATGACGTTTTTTTATTTTTTATTTTAATTCTTCAATAATATATTATTTTGTTTTGAAATAAAAAATAATAATAATATTGCGCTACAATAATTCCAAAAAAATTAATATCAAATTTTGTTTTTCGTATAAACACACACTACACAACATGCTCGTCACTCACCTCACCTCTTCAGTCTTATCCTTTTATATTTCTCAAAAAAAAAGTTCTCTTGATATTTACTTCTAAAAATCAAATAATATTATACTAGTTTCATAGATTTATTATGAAGCTTATAGGCTTTAATGTAAGAAATTTAATATAATATAAACAATGTCAAATTATTCTATACCCTTAGCTAAAAATGTGGTATTTTTTTTTCCTTTTTTGGTTTAAAACCTTTTCATCTATAAAATTTTTGGTTTTGGTTCATCCCGACCTAGTCTTACTCTCAAAACATCCACAAATTGATTTCTATACTTTCAACTTTTGTTCATCTTATTTTTTTTATTTTTGAAGCGTTTATTTTGATATTTGTACTTTAAACTTTTATCTTCCTGTATTTTTGAAGCGTCTCTTTTATTTATGACTATATTTCGAGAATTTTTAGTGAGTGAAATGTTAAGCTACAATTTTGATAAAAGAAAGAGATAAAAAATAAAAATGAATATACCAAAATAATCACTTTGTTAAAGTACAAGACCAAAATAAAGGTTTCAAATGTATATGGACTAGAATGAACCAAAATTAATGGACGAATTGAAAATACGAGGACTATGTTTAATTTTTTTTCCCTTTTTATTATTGTTCTAAATGTTATTTTTTAAGGAGTGATTTTCAATATCTACAAATCCAAATCCTTTGTGTTTACTCCATGTAGATCTCTAAAACATTGTATATAAAAATCATCTTCGCCATTATCACTATCACTACTTTCTATAAATTTTTTAAGCACAGCCACATCTCGTGAACCCAAATACACAACTAGCAAAGTTTAGAATATCGAAACAGATTCTAAATCTTATTAAATAACCAATGAAAAATCAACCACTAAAACTGTAACAAATGTCCTCGTAACAAATATATATATATATATATATATATATATATATATCAGCCACATAAAACTTCAAAAGATATTTTATTATATAGTTATGCTCTCCACCAGACAAAGCTTATTAAAAATCTAATGTCAAATTTCAAACACATATTATGGAAGACCAGAACAACTACCTATGCGATATATTATTGTTTTCTATATGTTATGTGTCTGGGTTTGTCCCAAACAATGCTGGACAAACCATGATATTATAGCAATAAAATACTCTCTTTCTAAGAAAATGAGATTATAGCATTGAGGATGGCAATGCATTCAGTGGGGAGAGAGAGGAAGGAATTAAGAAGAAAATCATCAATGGGGTCAACAGTAGCCACACCCACCAATCTGCATTTTCCTTCTTTGTCTAATCTTTCCCCTTTTCCTCTTCTTATGCTTCCTTCTGATTCCTCAGATGTCAGCACTGTCTTCACCAGTAATGGGGGAGCCTTGTATATACTCCCAACAGAGAATATGAACTTTGCCTTGAATTCAAGCTCAACCTGCACCCAAATTTGCCCGGATGACATCTCAAATCTGTTATTTCTCTTCATAATCAACCGTTTGCTTGGATTAACACAGAAATTGTTCGTTTAGGACTTTTAACAAACATCTTACGGGCATTGAATTACCTTGCCAGATTCTTTGCTGATGTTCCCATGGAAGAATTCCGGGAGGATGTCGATTTTCAGAAACGGTGGCAATGGCAGACCCAGAAATTTGGTGGTTTCAGTTGTCAATGGCGGGATGTAGAGGGTCCCAACATCGAAAGAAACCGAAACTTGGTCGCCGCTGCCGTCAGTCTCGGCAGAGGCAGTTCCTGTTCCGCCTTCAGCATTGTACTCAAAATCAGGGTATCTGGAAATCCCAAGCTTACAGGCCCTCAGAGTCTTGAAATGAAGAGTGGAAATTTCAGATTTTGGGATCTGGGTTTGATTAGTTGTGGTGGTAGAAATGGTGGGTGCGTCTTGGTTTTGACTGTGGATGGAGAAAGTGGGACAAAAAGTGGTGCTTTTGCCTCCAAGTTCTGCCCTTTTTGTGGGAAATTTGAAGAGAATTTGGGTATTGGGTGTGTTTATTTTACACCCCATCTGGTTCCCCTCTTAGCTTCTGTGAGTGTTAAAGAGAGAGAGAGAGAAGAATGATAAAGCAAGAATATCCAAATTGTCCCTGAAAGCAAAGCATAATGTTTCATGAGGCTATCTTGAATTTGTGTGATCCTAATGGCTTATCTGGTCTTTTGCAATTTGTGCTTCACACCCATAGTTCAGTCATTTTCAGTCCCAACCAAACATTAAAAGGAAAAGAGAAAAACTTTGTGGTTCATACTTTTAGAGGATCGCTTTGTAATCATAAGTAGAATTAAAGGATAACGTTGCTTCTTTTTCCCTCTCTTTTCAATAATGATAATTTTTCATGTGCCAATCTCTTAAAGGGCTTCCTAGTAGAATAAAATGTTTTTGAATATTGGAAGAGACCTGTTATGAATTATTTATCAGCACATTGCTTTTAAAAAAATCCCACTTCAAAGACTTAATAAACGAAGAGACAGGTAGAATATATTATCACGATTTTTATAATATATATATATAAATATGAGAGGCACTTCATTCTATAAGCTAGGAAGAGCACTAATCTTTATATACCACTAGATATGAGGATTATATTTATAAGAATATATTTATAAAATAATTTTCTTTACCATGCATCTCACATTAAATAATTTTTCAAATATTTGTGAGCTATTAAACTATTCAATAAATATATATTCCTTTTGGTACTTATCTTATTAATATCTAACATTTTATTAACATTCTTAAATTACTTAAAAGTTCTTTAGACAAGTAACTTTCAACATTTCGACAATAGTATAATATCGTTTGTGTAAATCACCATTACTTTTCTTTTAAAATCATCCAAAATGTCTCATACGATGTAGAGAAATGTGGAATTTTAATTGCATCCGACCATCAAAATTTGAAATTTATACAAAATTTAACTAAAATTTTGAAAGATAGATAACATTATCCTACCAACTTAGTCTTAAATATTTAATAGCGTATGAATTCCTGAAAAAACCAGAACCATAATTACGAAGCCATAAATAGATACAGGCTCAGAAGCCTTAAGCCTCATTTCTCAAAGTGAAATATAAGATTCACTTTAAAATCGACCTTTTTTTTTTCCTTAACTTATGAGGAAAATAGATCTAAAACATCCACAGTATAATTTTGCCCCCTTCTCAATGAGGGAGAAGAGCTCACAGGCTGAACATAACCTTAATAGCATTACCACCACGAGCACTGGTTTCAAAGGCTTCTTCCACCTCTTTCTGTGAAAAACCAAACCTGTGTGTTATTAGCGCCTTTACATCGATCTTGCCACTTTGTATAAACTCCAAGCACACTGGCCATGTGTTCTTGTACCTGAACACGCCAATAATATCGACTTCCCTGCCGTTTCATTCGATACAAAAGATTATACTCAGCAGGGTGGAAAGAAAGAGCTTCTGAGTATACATACAGAAAGCAGGAATCAAGTTACCTTGCTGCAGCTAGAGTTAGCGGAACTGTAATCTCTTTGTGACCCATTCCCACGAGACAAACTTTGCCACCAGGTCGGGTGGCGCTTAAAGCTGTCGACATAGTCTTGTTAAAGCCAACACAATCAAAGCTCACGTCTACATCGGTTTTCATAGCTTTTTGTATCTGAGCAACATCTTGCTCTACATCCTGCAACATTCGTCGCATTTTATGTACAGGTGAATGTACATTTTTCATTCAGCTCTCTGGACAAATCATAAAGTTTGTACAGCTGAATGTAAATAAAAGAAAGAACAGAAGAGAAGAGAAGAAGAAACCTGAATGTCGTTTGAAACTTTAACGACATCATCTGCTCCGAGATCCTTCGCAAAAGATAATCGAAAGTCATCCACATCGACAATGATAATTCGAGTTGCGCCAAATGCACGAGCAGCCATCATAGTGACGAGTCCAATTGTTCCAGCTCCCATGATCAAAACATTTGCTTCTGGACCAATGTTAGCACGTCGACAAGCATGAACACCAACACTTAAGGGTTCACACATTGCTCCTTCCTCCAAGCTGACATTTTCTGGCAGTTTAAAACATAGCTTCGCTGGATGAACCACCTGTCGGAAAGAAAATTAAGTGCTCATCACACAAATTTGAACTCCTCAATAAACTTGATATACATCATAGATGCCTTATAATCAAAGCATAAGGAGAATAGTCATTTGCCTTTTGTGTCTTTTCATTCACAAATCCCATGGAATCTCAAGAAGTGAAGCACAGAGATCGCTTAAGTTGATTACCTCATTAGCAAGAGAACCATGAAATGGAGCACTGCCAGAGAACTTCATCTCTCGGCATAGATTGTAGCAGCCTTCTTTGCAAAGATTACATTTCCAGCAACTAATTCCAGGCTCTAGTGCAACACGGTCCCCCGGCACCAAATTCTTCACTTCAGCCCCAACTTCTGCAATAATCCCTGCACATTCATGACCAATGACCATTGGCTCTCTGATGACAAAATGTCCACATCTCAGTGTCTGAAAATATGCAGACAGTTCAAAACAGAGCATAAGTAGTAAATGGAAGAAGAAAGAGGAGGTTTGATAGGACATGGATCCAACATAGGAAAGAACAAAACAGAGAACCCATAATTCCCAAATGAGAAAATAACGAAAATGGTTGAGAAAAAAGCTACCTTGTAGTAGTGGACATCACTGCCGCAGATACCAACTGCTTTCATCTGAACTCTAACATCATGGGGCCCTAAATTTGATATCAAGAAAGATTTGACTTGATACTAAGATATCATATAAGAAGAAGAGGAAGAAGGAGATCCTATGAAGGGAAGCGGATGATGATTTATCAGGAACAAACATAGAAGAAAAAAATATGGGAAATAACAGTTGCATACTGAGAGGAGGAAGGTGGAAAGGTTGAATCTTTAGCGTTTTAACAGCCAATAGCCAAGCGGCCATATTCTCTTCAACTTCATCTTCCCCAGTGCCGCCCTGTGACATTCCTCCTTTTCCCATGCTCTCTCTCTAGTCTCTGATGAGCTCCGTTTTATTGGCTTCAAAATTTGAGGCACCTTTGTAGCCATAGAGTTGTGGATGAGATCCAAAGCTCACTTGTTTACTGCAGATTAAAGTGAAAAAGAAAAATTAAAATTAAAAAACTGATAATATCTCAATCATTTCTTTTCGACATTATCTGTTATTTCAACGGGTACAAACTTAAGGACTAGAATTTCCGCAAAGAATAAGAGCATTCGAATATAAAGAAATAGTCATACACTTGATAGTAGACTAAATTCCGTGCAAGCCTGCCACCTCCCTGAGATCTTCGACCAATTTCAGAATTATTGTCCAAATTTGTCGTTAGCCACAGTCATTATAAAATTTTATTTTTTGCGCTTACTTACAGGATTTAATATTGATGATGATTCCTTCCCTCTTCAAATTCTGGTCCAAAAGATTCGATATAGATCACGACTTCAGGAAATAAATAAAATGAAACTAAACATGCATATAATATCRGAAAGATACAAAACAGATCGAAGCATAAAAGAGAAACTTAAGATTGAACTAAAAATCGATCTTGGTCGGATTCYATTTTTTGGACTGGTTGCTCGTTTGAGCTTTTGGGCTCTAATATCATATTAATATTCATGAGTTCTATCTAAAACTCAATTGATAATGAGAGGAAAAGCCATATCTATTRTAAACCATTGTAAGACCCCTTCTTTTTCCAATGTGGATCCTTAACATATTTATCATAACCACGAGGGCACAAAAAGCTCAAACTTTACTCYGGTGATTTTCGCAGTTGGATGTGAAGCAGAACTGGACTGATTTTTTGGAGGCAAATATAGGCACAAGTGRGAAAATTAAAACCTTCTGCAATTACCCCGAAGGATAATTTCCATTGTTTGATAGAACTTTATTTAGGCTTGACCACTAAGAGAAACCTTTTTAACTAGCAGGGGAGAGTGCTGGCTTCAAGGATGTGAATGCTTCTTTAGTGCATATATAGAATGCAAGTGTGAATTTTCTGCAGCAAAGAAATTGATCTGGAAAACCAGTAGCGTTGGATAAGCACTCGGATCAGTTAGTTTGTTGACATCGAGTCAAATCAACTCATGCGATTTAGTTGGTGTCATTCCATTTAATTCAATGGAGCTACAAGCATATGGTTTCTGCACATCAGTCTCTTCCATCAGCTCTCTAATCTCCAGAACATCATCCCACCTATCTGAACCTGTATATGTACTTGAAGACATAACATAATTCCCGCTATTTCGAGGATCCAATCAACTTCTTTGAGACAATCTCATCCAAGACCATATTTCTTTATGAACTCGTAGGCCTTGTCTAAATACAGCGTTTCCTTCCAAGACCGTCTCTCTGTTGTGTACATTTTGTTTTTTTTCCCCTTAATGGAAAGACGAAAAATGCATATTCAAATGTTCTATTAATATAACAAACTCCTTTTGAGCATTACCTTGCCAGATTCTTGGTTGATGTTCCCATGGAAGAATTCAGGGAGAGTGTCGAATTTCAGAAACAGTGGCAACGGCAGACCCAGAAATTTGGCGGGTTGAGTTGTGAATGGCGGGATATAGAGGGTTTCAACATCGAAAGAAACCGAAACTTGGCCGCCGGCCGCTGATCTTGGCAAAGGCAATTCCTGTTCCTCCTTCGGCATCGTACTCAAAATCAGGGTATCTGGAGATCCCAAGCTTCTCAGTCTTGAAATGAAGTGTGGAAATATCAGATTTTGGGATCTGGGTTTGAGTTCTGGTGATGGTGGAAATGGCGGGTGTGTCTTGGTTTTGACCGTTGAGAGAAAAAGTGGGAACAAAAGCGGTGCTTTTGCCTCCAAGTTTTGCTCTTTTTGTGGCAAACTTGAAGAGAATTGGGTTATTTGGGCAGAGAGATCATAAAGCAGGAATCTAACGACTTATCCTTAATCCTGCTATTAATATTATGATTATCTGCCCCACACAGCCCTAGTTCACTTCTTTTCAATCCCAACCAAAAGTTAAAAGTTCGTCGTTCATTCAAAGTTTGAGGTTAACTTTTTAATCATTACTATTTAAAGGATAATGCTGCTTCTTCTTAACCCCCAATAAGATTTCATGTGCCTTCCTTTCATAATCTCATATGAATTTGCCAAATATATTCCCCATGATAAATGATATGATATTTACCCTATAGAGTCGAAAATTCAACACCCCTTCAACACCCCTCCCCACAATGGTTATGCTAAAGAAATAAGTCGAATATAATTTTTTTTTTATTTGGATAGAATTCTTATGAATTTGTTTGTCCACAAATCTATATACATTACTTCCATTAAAAAAATTTTCATTTCTAAATGAAGTGAAAAACTAACATGAATATACCTCACTAGTTCTCATTTTCTAGAAGTTAGAGRTTCGATCCTTAAAATATATATATATAAAAGATCCTAAAACATAAAAACCATAATCATCCTGTAAACTAATTCATAAATACTCGTAAACGTCTCAGTATTCCAAAAACAAAAACATTACCAAACCATGTATTACAAAAGATGATCCCATCATTTTGAACTATCTCAAAGTGAAATATAAGATTCCCTTTATGAATTACCTTTTTTTTTTCCCTTAACTTATGAGGAAAACAGATCTAAAACATGCACAGTATATTTCCCCCCCTTCTCAAACAGGGAGAAGAGTTCACAGGTTGAACATAACCTTAATAGCATTACCACCACGAGCACTGGTTTCAAAGGCTTCTTCCACCTCCTTCTGTGAAAAACCAAACCTGTGTGTTATGAGCGCCTTCACATTGATCTTGCCACTTCTTATAAACTCCAGGCACACTGGCCATGTGTTCTTGTACCGGAACACGCCAATCACATCGACTTCCCTGCCGTTCCATTTCATTTGATACAAAAGATTATACTCAGCAGGGTGAAAAGAAAGAACTTCTGAATATACATATAGAAAGCAGGAATCACGTTACCTTGCTGCAGCTGGAGTTAGCGGAACTGTCATCTCGTTATGACCCATTCCCACAAGACAGACTCTGCCACCGGGTCGGGTGGCGCTTAAAGCTGTCGACATAGTCTTGTTAAAGCCAGCACAATCAAAGCTCACGTCTACTTCAGTTTTCATGGCTTTTTGTATCTCAGCAACATCTTGCTCTACATCCTGCAATATTAGTTGCATTCAACAAGTTGGGGCTTTAAGAGTAAGGAACACTGATAATATTCTGTCTGAATTCGGCCTTTTTCCTTTCTCATTAAGCTCTCAAAATAAATCGTAAAGTTTGTGCAGGTGAATGTAAATTACTGACACTGTCATGAAAGGCTGGAGAGCTTTCAATGGATTTGATCAAGAAAGAGTCCTAATTCTTTTTAATAAAAAAGAACATAAGAGAAGAAGAAACCTGAATGTCGATTGAAACTTTAACGACATCATCTGCTCCGAGATCCTTTGCGACAGATAATCGGTAGTCATCCACATCGACAATGACAATTCGAGGTGCACCAAATGCACGGGCGGCCATCATAGTGACAAGCCCAATTGGTCCGGCTCCCATGACCAAAACATTTGTTTCTGGACCAATGTTAGCACGTCGACAAGCATGAACACCAACACTTAAGGGCTCACACATGGCTCCTTCCTCCAAGCTTACATTTTCTGGCAGTTTAAAACATAGGTCAGCCGGATGAACCACCTGTCCAAAAGAAAATTAAGTGCTCATCACACAATCTTGGAGAACAGAAACTTGATATACATCATACATGTCTTATTATAAGCAATCTCCAAGAATCATATCATGAAATTAAATCAAATGAGAATGTAGTGAAGATGTACAGACAGCTGCTTCTCACAATGAATATCTTACAATAACAGAGACTTTCCACAACATCAACAGGTAAAAATTCAAGCGTAGGAGCACCGACAAGGGATATCCACACCAAAAGTATGCATTTAAGAATGTATGATCCACTGCACAGATTTGTCCAAGAAGGAGAAGACTAGCAGAAGATAGCAGTGAAGAAACAAGAAAAACATAACGGAAACATAGCCACCTTATTCCAAAGCTATACATAAAACAAGTCATTTATTTTTCAATCATACAAAATAAGCATATTCATAAACAGAACATTCATTTGCCTTTTTTATTCTTGATTATTAAAATCCCATGGAATCTCAAGAAGCACAGAGGTTGCTAAGGTTGGTTACCTCATTTGCAAGAGAACCATGAACTGGGGGAGTGGCAAAGAACTTCATATCTGGACATAAATTGTAGCGGCCTTCTTTACAAAGATTACATCTCCAGCAACTAATTCCGGGCTCTAGTGCAACACGATCCCCGGGCACCAAATGCTTAACTTCAGGCCCAACTTCTGCAATAACCCCAGCACATTCATGACCAATGACCATTGGCTCTTTGACGACAAAATGTGCACACTTCAGTGTCTGAAAATATGCAGACAGTTCAAAACAGAGCATATAAGTACATGGAAGAAGAAAGAGAAGATTTGATAGGCCCTTCCCGCCGCCAATCTTTTCCTCTCAGACCTTCAAACAAACACAATTCTATGAGCTTTTAAACTAAACCAAGTATAAGAACTTTCCTGGATCAGCTTCCCACATATTTTTGTCATCAATTCAGTTTGTAATCAATCAAATAGGATATGGATTCAACATGGGACAGAAAACCCATAATTCCCAAATGAGAAAAAAGCTACCTTTAGGTAGTGAACATCGCTGCCGCAGATACCAACAGCCTTCATCTTAACTTTAACATCATGGGGCCCTAAATCCAACATCAGTTAAGTAAAGAAAGCGTTTACTYGATATTCGATACAAAGTTGGCAAAAAGAAGAAGAAGAAGATGATGATATAAAAGTAAGCAGATGATTCGTCAGGAACAAACGCAGTGAGCAAAAATGGTTGCATACCGAGAGGGGGAAGGTGGAAAGGCTGAATCTTGAGCGTGTTGATACCCAATAGCCAAGCAGCCATATTTTCTTGAACTCCATCTTCATCAGTGCYGCTGCCGCCGTGAGACATTCCTCCCTTTCCCATGTTTTCTCTCTAGTCTCTGCGTGGACTGAAACGAAAAGGGTTGTTCAATGAGTTTCGTTTTATCGGCTTGACAAGCCGTGGCGGTTGTGGATCAAGATGGGATCCAAACCTCACTTGTTTGCTGCTGTAGATTAAAATGAAAAAARGAAAAACCGATCGCATCTCAATCAATTCCTGTTTCCACATTATCTGTTATTTTAACAAATACATACTTATACTTGGTTTTAATTTTTAACCAGATCAAGACGGTTAAAATTTCCCCAAAAAAGAGACGCATTTAAACTTAAATAATAGTTATATATTTATAGTAAATTCTGTGTGCGTCTGCAATCTCTACGAGATCTTTGACCCATTTCACAATTCTTATCCAAATCCTTAGCAAAAGATTGCTCTGTCAGCCACAGTCAATATAAAATTTATATATAAAAAATAAAGTGGAATTACACTCAAATTAACATGTATTTATAACTTCTTTGTAGTACAAAATTTAAGATATAAATTTAAACCCACATACTTAATTTTATTTTTAAAATTATTTTTTATTATAAATTTATAATTTATATCATTTTTATAAAATTTTAAATCTAACRCTATAGGTAAACATATACTTTCTTTTACGCTATGCTATTGGTATAGTTTAGAGATATAAAATTTTCAATTTTATAAAAATATTTGATAAAATGTAGATGATGGAAAACCAATGACGGTCCGTTCGAATCTATATGGTTCACGGTGAGAAGAAAAATTAAAAAGAATTAACAATTCAAAACCTCAAGCCTGTATCCATTTTCTAAATTAAATGATATGATTTTTAACGACCATTTTTTTCCCACCTAATCATCTATATAATATTAGAAAGATTCAAAATAAATATTTTTTTTTTCTTTGTCAACATAAACTTAGTTCAGCGATTAAGATACTCTGAATCTTTTTTAGAGTCGAAGATTCAATTTTCTATCCTCATATTTATTGTACTAATTTTTTTTTTTYCTGACTCAAATTTCTTCCAACATGTCACTGAACCGCGGTTGATACTCTAGCAAAAGAATCAATGCTCAATAATGTGGACTAGTAATTTTCTCTCGACTGATGTGTTTAGTGAAAGTGGAGAATCTCAATATTATAGCCTAGCTGTGTAAGCTTTTATCTTTCACCAAACACTTTTTCTAAAAGAGAGACTTTAAGATTAACTTATTAAAAAAAAACCTCTCAAGATAAATAAAATTTTCTGGTTAAAAAAGCAGAGATATAGTTTAAAATTTACGTTATTTTTGTCTTACGCTTTCAAACAATTATAATTTTACTTGTTTTTACAATATTTAAGAAAACATAAAAAATAGTAAAAATCCATACAAAATGGGCTGACAGATATTCCCACCTCTAGATTTGGACGTTGCATCCTTTTCTTACTCAAATTTTGGTCATGATCTGCTAGTTCTTCTGATCCTCATTCTACTGTTTCAAACGATTTGCCAGAGCCTGCAGACCACCTTCTTCAAGTATTTTCAATCTGTACAAACCCATAAAGATGTACTCTGATTATACCAGGGGACTCCACGAGCTGTTTATCAATGCCACAAGGTCAACAAATTTTAGAACAAGCTCAACTTTTCTTTGGTGGTTTTCGTGGTTGGATACAAAGAACTGGATGGAGGGTGTGGAGGCAAATATAGGCACATATAGAACATTTAAAACCTTCTGTAGTTACTCTGAAGGATAATTTCGAATGTTCTATAGAACTTTGTATAGCATTGACCAGCTAAGAGAAATCTTTTTAACATCAATCCATTTAGCAGGGGAGAGTTCTGGCTTCAAGGATATGAATGCTTCTTGAGTGCATTGATCCAGTAAACCAATTGCATWGGATAAGCACTCAGATAAGTTGGGTTGTTGACATTGAGTTAAATGAGCTCATGAGATTTAGTTAATGTCCTTCCATTTAATTCAATGGAGCTATAAGCATATGGTTTCTGCACATCACTCTCTTCCATCAGTTCTCTAATCTTCAGAACATCATCCCACCTGTCTGAACCTGCATATGTACTTGAAGAGAGGACATAATTCCCGCTGTTTTGAGGATCCAATTCAAGAAGCTTCTTTGAGACAAGCTCAGCCAAGACCACATTTCCATGCAGCTTGCAAGCACTTAACAATATTCTCCATATTACAACGTCGGGAACCATCGGCATTTTCTTTATGAACTCGTAGGCCTTGTCTAGATGGCCAGAACGACTCAGAAGATCCACAATGCATCCATAATGTTTCATTTCTGGTGTGAGTCCATATTTCTTCTCCATGCTCTCGAAATGCTCCATTCCCTTGTCTACCAATCCCACATGAGCACAAGCTAGTAAAACTCCGACAAAAGTCCCATGAGTTGGAAATATGCCTGCTTTCAACATTTGATAGAAGAGATTAAGAGCAGAATCGGCAAAACCATTCACAGCAAGACCTGAAATTATAGAAGTCCATGTCACAGAGTCCTTATTTTTCATCTCATGAAAAACATGCAATGCCTTCTCAACCACACCACACTTACAATACATATCAATCAACGCGTTCCCCACAAAAATGTCTGATTTTATGTCGTGCTTGCATACATAGTCATGAACTGCCTCTCCGACATCAAGTGAACCCAGATGGGCACAAGCAGAAAGCACAGTAGCAACAGTTATTTCATCTGGTTTCAGCATAGACACCATCATTTCTTGAAAAATCTTCACCGCCTCGCCATGTTGCTTAGCTTGAGCATAGCCTGTGATAATGGAGGTCCATGAGATCACATCCCTTGAAGGCATATCATCAAAAATCTTCCTTGCAGCAACTAAATTTCCAACTTTTGCATACCCCATGATCATTGTATTCCATGATACTATATTTTTCTCTTTCATCTGATAAAACACTCTGCCTGCCGAATTTGCCATACCACGGCGTCCATACATATCTATCAAAGTGTTCCCTAAGTAGATATCAACCACAACACTATTTTCATCAATGTACTTCACCAAATGGTCAGCCATCTCCCATTCACTCAAAAAGCTACAAGCTAAAACAACTTTCATAATTGTCAAGGAATCAGCTTTCACATTTATAGCCTGCATTTCCCTAAAAAGATTCAAAACCTCCTTAAATCCATTAAATTGACAATACCCACAAATTATAGAATTCCAAGAAACAACATCTCTTTCCGGCATTCCATCGAACATCTTCCGTGCAATATCCAACTCACCAAAGCAGGCATACATATGAATCAAAGCATTGGAAACAAAAAGATAGGATTCAAACCCAAGTTTCATAGCATGCACATGAACCTTCTGGCCTCGCTCAACATCAGAAACTCTAGCACAAGCCTTGAACACAAATATGAATGTCAAATTATTCCCGTGTAATCCTTGGCAATACATGCTGTTATAGAAATGAATTGCATCAGTAGGTCTGTCGCCCTTTGATAGACCGCGGATCATGTGGTTCCATATCAGGAATGTGGGTCGCTGGATTTGATTGAAAACGAAATGGGCTTTGTGCAAAAACGGTGGAGAAAGAGCATAATACTTGATAACCTCAGAGATGGAGGATGGGTCGGTGTGCATTTGGGTTCTAATAAGCTGGGCGTGAAGCTCCTTGATCGAGCTGAGGGAGATTGAACAATTTGTAGTTCTCTGTGACTTGGAGGTCTCACTGAAGGTACTGAACAAGCGGAAAACGGATCTGGAGAATTTCATAACAGATTCATGGGGGTGGATGTGGATGAAAATGTAAGCAGCTTCGAAATGGAAAATCAAGCAGCTTACTAAAACACTGGGACGTTTTGTCGCAAGGCCATTGTCAACCATTGAAGAAAGTTTAAAATTTTTTTATTATTGTCAAATTTTGATTGTCATCAATCAACACCTAGATATTATGCCAGCTGTTTTCTTCCTTTTTTAGTAGAATGTATAAGACTCAAATGTTTTATTAATATAATAAATTGATTGCATTTTATTTTTATTTTTTTACATTATTGCATCGAGAGCAAATTTTAGGAGTATTAACCTATAACATTTTTTTTAATACAACAATTTAGATATGACGGATCGAATCTAAAAGAAATGAGTACGTATCAATTATCGCTCAACTATTAATGCTACTAAAATAAGGTCGAAGAAATATTATCTAGACCCAAACAAATTCATGTCAATTACCGCTGAGCTAGGCTCGCTTTGRCATAAGGTATGCTATATTAGATATGAATTAAACTTAATTAGAGATCAATCCAAAACTAGTTTGTAAAGAGATCGATACCTCAAAGAATGAATTTTAATCTTCCTTGAACATGTTTAGCCCATCAAATTATCGATATGTTTCCCTTTTTTCCTTTTAAGTTTAACCATGATAGATGTGAAATTGAACTATAAACTTTAAAAATGATGATATAAATATCTTATTCACTCAACAAACAATTTGGATTTAGAAATAAAAATTATTATTTTATTTTATATAAATTCCAAATATTATATTGTTCATTTTTTTTGTTTCTTTCTATAACTTMTATGTGTCCAACCATTACTTATTTATTGCATATATTTTTAATTAAATATTTAAAAGAAACGTGTAATAAACAACATGTTA